CTCACCTACTCACAGTAACTATATTGTAAGCCTCTTTGTAATAACTCTACTACAAAGCTCACCACTTGAGTAAATAACCGCACATATTATGGTTTAAAAGATGTCCTATGAAATGCTTCTGAAAAATTGAGTAGGAATTGCAAGTGAATAACATGAATAAAGACACAACAATACTAAAGGACACACGACATAATCAATGCTGGGATTTAGTCTTTTGTTCTGTTGTTGTTTTGTTCTTCAATGCCTCAGAGAGAATGAAGGCGGTTGCACACTTGGGAGTAATCAATATTTAGATTTTGCAAGTGTGTATTGAAATCCCTTGCCTCATGTTGATAATATATGAGTGAGGTCATCAAAGATGATGCAAAGGAGTGTCCGGTACACAACGTGCTTCAACGGTGCTGCTGTACTGTTGCGTGTATAGTGCAACAACTTTAACAACTATTAGAGTTAACTTGTACTGTGTCCGGAGGAACTAATCTCTATTTATTCCCTATGTTATTCCCTTATCTGATTTCATTGAGAATTGAACCAGATATTTGACTCATTGCTCTGAACACTAAGGAACCAATTGTATGAGGTTCCCTATCTGGTTCTCTCAAGAAATTTGTTAAATCATCAAAATAAAAGACATATAACTTCTCAAGAGACAACTTCAAAACTCCATATTCTTTTGTCGAAAAAAAAGTCCATATTTTTTATATTTAAGATTCCTAACTAAAGGACCAAAATAGACAATAAAATAAAAAGAAAAAAGGTAACAAGTATTAAAAAAAAATTAGCTAACCATTGTTAATTGCCACATAGTTACAAAATCGAGCGGCAATTCTATTTCTAATTGTAGCATGGCAAAATCTTTTCTCTCAATTATTTTTCTTAATTAAAGATCTAGCCATGTTCGAGCTCTATGTTATTTGGAGGCATCATATACTACATATTTCTATTTAATTCCGGTTACATTGAAGGAGAGGAGCAAAAAATACTTTATGCCATAGCAAAATATTTGATGTTAAAAAATATAAAATTATAATTCATAGATTAGCTAATTTATAATTAGCCAATGGAACAATGAATGGAATAATAAGTAAAACAACCGAGTTACTAATGCGCTAAAATTAGAGACTTAGTCATTGCTTCAATGCAAGACCAAATCGATTAAATAGAAAGACATGCAACATATGACTGGTAGGGGCGAATTTACAGTGATCGGTATGGGTTCCAGAACCCAGTATCTTTTTCCTAGATCCTGTATTTGTATTAAAAAATCCATTGAATATATAAGAATAATTATAAGGAATCCACTTCTAAAATATATTGCTGGTTCAGTGGTAAATTGGGGAACCTAGGTGCAGGTCGTTTCCCATAACCTATTGATACGAGTTTGAATCCCCATAAGCTCATTTTATTTTTTCCTTTGTTTTTTGAGAAATGCATCATATGAACTAGAAGAAATGAAAGAAAAGTACCAGACGTGACTACAAAACAGTAAGGTCATTGTCAGGTGATGTAACGACCCGGCCGGTTGTTTGAAATATTATAGCCTCGTTCCCCCATTTACTGAATATTTTATGCTTAATTGTGATTATGTGATTTGTCGGGGAAGTTTCGGAATGAATTGGGACACTTAGTTTCAAGATTTAAGTTTAAGTTGAAATAGTTGACCGGATGTTGACTTATATGTAAACAACCTCAGAATAGAGTTTTGATAATTCCAATAGCTCCGTATGGTAATTTTGGACTTAGGAGTGTATCCGAATATTTATTTTGAAGTCCGTAGAATAAATTGAAGCTTTTTGGCGAAAGTTAAAAATTGGAATTCGGAAGTTTGACTGGGAGTTGACTTTATTGATATCGAGCTCAGATTTCGATTTTGAAAATTGTAATAGCTTCGTTATGTCATTTATGACTTGTGTGCAAAATTTGAAGTAATTCCGGATTGATTTGATACGCTTCGGCGCAAATTATAGAATTTGGAAATTTCATAACTCATAATTCGATTCGAGGAACGATTCGTAGTTTCAGCGTTATTTGATATGATTCGACGCCTCGACTAAGTTCGTATCATGTTTTGGAACTTGTTGGTATGATTTGACAGGGTCCCGAGGGGCTTGGGTATATTTTTGGATCATTGGTTGAGAGACTAGTAAGGTTAAGAAATTTGGAGTTTGATCATGGTAAATATCGGGTCAAGATGACCTCTTTTCAGTGTTTTGAGTGCGCGAACAGGTCCGTAGCATGTTTTATGATTGAAATTTGGGTTTGCTGGTTTCTGGTGAGGCACTGTTCATTCGCAATTGCGAATACTGTGCATTTGCAATTACGAACACTGTTAATTCGCAATTGCAAACACTGTTTATCGGAGTTTACTGTTATTCGCAAATGCGAAGTTTTTGTCTGCAAATGCGAACCTGGGCAGAAGACTTAAGGATCAAAACTTGGTCATTTTTCCATTTTCGTTTTTGATTTTGAAGCCTCGGGTTTGGGCGATTTTGGAGGAATATTTCACGAGTTTGAATTGGGTAAGTGTTCCTCAACCGAAATTGGTTATATTTCATGATTCTATAGTTATTTTTATCATTTATTAGTGAATCAAATGGAAGAAATTGAGAAATTTGTAAAATCTTTCAAAAACGAAAAATGAAGATTTGGAGGTCGATTTGTTATTGGAATTTGATAAAATTTATATGGTTGGACTCGTGGTTGAATGAGCGTTCATATTTTGTACCTTTTGTTAGGTTCCGAGACATGGGACCCACTGTTGCTTTTTAGATTTAATTAGAAAATTTAGTATTTTCATGTGGAATTGATTCCTATAGTTTGTTATGACTGTATCGAATTAATTGTTACTAGATTCGAGGCGTTTAGAGGCCAATTCGCGAGGCAAGGACTTATTAGAATAGAGAATTTGCACGGTTTGAGATAAGTAACACTTCTAAACTTGGTTCTGAGGGTATGAATCCCGGAATTACATGTTATATGAATTGTTTGGAGGTGACGCACATGTTAGGTGACGGGCGTGTGGGCGTGCACCATAAAAATTGCGACTTAATTGATTTTGTGGAGTTGTATAATCAAATAATGATGTCATTATTCACATATCCTCTACATGTTAGAGAACTTGAGCTGAGACTTGTATTAAGATCATGTTTAGGATACGTGCCAATATTTTGGGACCCATAGGGGTCGTATTGCTGTTGAATTAGTTATTATAAAATTGAAAATTTCATACTAAATGGTTTATTATTATAGCGCTTGGGCTGAAGGAGCCCCTTCGGAGTCTGCACCCTCCACAGTGAGCGCAGTTGATATTATATTGAGGGATGGATCTTCCCTGGGCTGTATTTGCCCCGTACAGTACTGAGTGATTGAGTACTATGAGAGTGTGAGTACGTGTTCATTATGTTGTATCACATATGACATGTACATTAGTATGTAGATATAGAGATGTCATATTCCTCATATCATTTAGATTTGATCTATTTTTCTTGTATTGTGTTTTACTGTTTAACTGTTGAACTTGAAAGCATGCCTACATTTCTTACTATTATTTTCTATGATTGGACTATAATTGTTGAGCTCTTCACTATTTTTAGCCCAAAGGTTAGTCTTGTTACGTATTGAGTACATTGGGTCGGTTATACTCATACTACACTCTGCACTTCGTGTGCAGATCTAGGTATTTCCGGATACGGCGATTGCTAGATTTTGGAGATTTATCTGTTGGAGACTATCGAGGTAGTTGCTTTGGCATTCGCAGACCTTGACTCTCTTTCCTTTCAGTTATTTGTACTGTTCTATATTTTTAGACAATGTTTTTATTAGTCAGACTATGTTATCATTTAGATGATCATGTACTTAGTGACACTGGGTTTTGGGAGTGTATTTTGTATCAGAAATTATGGGATTTTACTCTTAAATTTATTTTTCGTGTTTTCAAACTTAAAGAAATTGGTGGTTTATTGAGGTTGTTGGCTTGACTATTATTAAGATAGGCGCCATCATGATAGGTGAGATTTTGGGTCGTGACAAGTTGGTATCAGATGGTGAGGACACGTACTACCGGATCGGACGGCCATCCACCAGTGCCATCAGTAAGGGCCATGAGAGGTCGGGGCTGTGGTAAAGGTCGAGGCGTAGCTCGCACAGTAGTTGGAGCAGCACCTGTAGAGCCACCAGTTGCTCCAGCTCAGGAGAAGGTTCCAGATATAGTTGAGACGGCGTGACCAGCTCAAGCACCAACTGTGCCTATTATGATTCCAGGCCTTTAGGAGGCTTTAGGCCAGATATTGACAGTTTGCACTAGCCTTGCTCAGGTGATTTCGGCTCAGGCCGTACCAGCCACATCTCAGGCCGGGGGAGGTACTCATAACCCTGTCGCCCGTACTTCAGAGCAGGTAGTGCAGGGATTCCAGATACCGGGGGCACTACCAGTCCAGCCGGTTATAGCTGCCCAGCCCCAGGTGGGTCCTATTATGAATGATGAGGAGCAGAGGAGACTAGAGAAGTTTGAGAGACTCCATCCTCCATCATTTAGTGGGACTGAGTCAGTCGATGCTCAGGATTTCTTGGGCAGATGCCAGCAGATTCTTCGTACATCGGGTATTCTAGAGACCAGTGGAACCTCATTTAGTACTTTTGAGCTAACCGGAGCAACCTTCAGATAGTGGGAGACTTATGAGAGGAGCAGGCCAGTTGGTGTAACACCACTTTCATGACATGAGTTCTCCATATTATTCCTGGAGAAGTTTGTGCCACAGACTCGCAGAGAAAAACTGCGTAGGCAGTTCGAGTATTTATGTCAAGAGGACAAGTCCATGACCCAATATGAGATGCCATTTTCGGAATTGGCTCGTCATGTAGTTTGATTGATTCCCACTGAGAGGGTGAATATCAGGAGGTTCATCAATGGCCTCAACCATTAGTTCCGTTTTGTTATGACTCTGGGAAATATAATAGTTGCTAAATTCGACGAGGTGGTTAACAGTGCTCGATGACTAAAAATGGTCCATACTTTGGAGCGTGAGGAGAGAGAGGCCAAGAGGTCTCGTGGTCCAGGTAATTCCAGCGGCGTTCCTTTTGGGGGACAGTCATATCACAGTAAGGGTCGACCTTATAGGCCCGCTTATATGGCTCATCCAGCTCATCGTGGCGCATCAGCTGGCCATGGTTTATATAGTGCTCGACCGAGTCAGTCTTATCTTAGTGCACTTCCAGCTTAGAGTTCATCTCGTGCACCATCAGTTCTGGGTTCATCTGTACCAGTTTCTTTTGGTAGTTATTCTGGTTCTCGAGGTCCGCCTCAAAACGTGCCACCATTTTTCGTGATGGATTGCTATGAGTGTGGAGAGCTGGGTCATGTGAGAAAATATTGTCCCTGCCTTTCGCGAGGTCCAGTTCTGCAGAGGAGTCAGGCTACGACTCATGCACCAGCTGCTACGCCACCCACCCAGCCAGATCGGGGTGAGGCTCAAGCAGCCAGAGGTCTCCCTAGAGGGGAAGGTCTATCAGGTGGCGGTCAAGCCCGATTCTATGCTATTCCTGCTAGGCCAGATGACGTTGCTTCCAATGCAGTGATCATATGCTAGGTGATGGGTGTGTGGGCACGCACCATAGAAATTGAGGCTCAGTCGATTTCGCAGAGCTGTGTAGTCAATTAACTTGTATTTTTCCATGTATTTGTCATGTGTTAGAGAAACTGAGCTGTGACTCATGTTAGAAATCAAGCTTAGGCAAATGCTGGTATTGTTGGGACCCACTGAGGTCATTTCTGATGCCGAATATTTTTTTTAAATTGTAATTTCGTACTCTGTCGTATACCTTCATTGCATATCATATCTCAGTCTGTTGTTTATTATTGATACATCACATCATCATTTTTGGGCTAGTTTCATGACATAGTGAGCCCGAGAGACTGGAGAGATTGTGCCTGAGGTCGAGGGCCTGATTGTGAGGTTATTGATACTATAGTACGTGAGTGGTCCATGTGGATCCAGATATTGATACTATAGCAAGTGAGTTGTCCGTGAAACACGTGAGTTGTCCGTGCGAATTATAGCGCTTAGACTGAAGGAGTGTCACGACCCGAAATTTTTCACCGACGAGACCGTGATGGCGCCTAACATTTCACTTGCTAGGCAAGCCAACGTTAGAAAAATTGTTAAACCAATTCCTTATTTTCATTAAGTAAATAACAATAATTAACTAAGATGAAATATAATAAGTGCGAAATATCATAAAACTATATTAATTACTACCACCCTGATCTGGAGTCACAATTCATGAGCATTCTAGAATTTACTACAAGTAATAGCCTGAAAGAAATACAACAGTTTGAATGAAGGAAAACAGTAGGACATAAAAGATAGACGGGGACTTCAAGGTCTGTGAACACCGACAGATCTACCTTGAGTCTCCGGACAGCGGAAAAATAGCAAATCTCGATCAACCTGAGCCGATATCAAAATCTGCACAGAAAGTGCAAAGTGCAGCATCAGTACAACCGACCCCATGTACTGGTAAGTGTCGAGCCTAACCTCGGCGAAGTAGTGACGAGGCTAGGACAATACACCCACATATAACCTGAACAGTATAATCATGCTAGTGGCAACAACAGTAAATCAAGAAATAACGCAAAAATAATGGGAGGTGAACATACAGTGGGGGAATACAACATAAAGAGTGAGAATAATGAAAGGACAGAATTAAATCGAAAATCCTTAAACGAATGGAGCAATTAAGACAGCAAGGAAAACTGCACGACATCTCCCTTCGTGCTTTTACTCTCAACCTCACCAAATAACAAATAAGACTGCACGGCATCACCCTTCGTTCTTTTACTCTCTTCCTCACAATATAAATAAATCATGCACGGCATCACCCTTCGTGCTTTACACTCTTCCTCACAATATAAATAAATCATGCACAGCATCACCTTTTATGCTTTACACTCTTCCTCACAATATAAATAAATCATGCACGGCATCACCCTTCGTGCTTTACACTCTTCCTCACAATTCACAAAATCAATAACAACAGATAGAGAGAAGTTTTACAAAGAAATCAATATTTCATCAATGATTACTTTCACAATTTAACATCTCAACCTTGAATCAATATTCATAATTTTATCGACCTTGGTGAAACCGGATACAAGTCTCCCAACATTTCTACAACAACAATAAACATGGATAACAAGATTTAAGACTACAAATTTGCAAGAATGGAATTTCACTCGCATGCTATGACTCGACCACAACGTATAGATGCTCGTCACCTCAACTATACATCGTATTCAACAACAAAACACGTAGCAAATACTCACACTATACCTATTCCCTCAAGCCAAAGTTAGACACAACACTTACCTCGCTCCGAAGGCCACTTAATTCTCAATCACAGCTTTCCCTTTGGAATTCACCTCCAAACCACTCTTATCTATTCAAAAATGACTCAACAATATCAAATGTTTCTTAATAAATCAATTATATTTCATAAATTAAATTTTCCAAATCTTCCTCCAAAAAGTCAAAAAGTCGACCCCGGGCTCGCTTGATCAAAACCCGAGGTTCGGACCAAAATCCTTTTACCCATTCACCCCCGAGCCCGAATATGTAATTAGTTTTGGAATCCGACCTCAAATTGAGGTTTAAATCCCCAAATTCCCGAAATTCCTAGTTTCTACCCTAACCCCTAATTCTACCATGAAAACTATAGATATTTGGTTGAAAATTCAAGAAATGTAATGGGTAATGGAAAGAAAATGGTTTACAATCACTTACCAACAATTTGGGGAAGAAATGACTCTTGAAAAATCGCCTCTCACCGTTTGGTGTTTGAGAAAAATGAGTTTTTTAGGCTAAATTCCCCTTTTTGGGTTCTGTTAAGTGCTGGGCGACAGTGTTCATCGCGTTCGCGAGAGCACTGTCGCGTTCGCGAAGTGTATGGGCTGTCAATCCTTCGCATTCGCGAGACAGTGCTCGCATTCGCGTAGGTTACCCTTCCCTGGTCTTTGCATTCGCGAGTTATTGTTCGCGATGAAGAAAAAGTTGTCAGCCCCTCCCCAGTGCCTAACACTACGCGTTCGCGATGGGCTCGTTGCATTCGTAAAGGGTAACACCCCCATCGCTCCGCGTTCGCGACCAAGCCTTCGCGTTCGCGAAGAAGAAATCCTCAGCTGCCCAGTTTACTCTTCGCGTTCGCGAGAGTACCTTCGCGAACGCGAAGAAGGACTTGCCAGAACACCTGCTGCAGCAAAATACCTGATTTCCAAAGTCCAAAACATCGCGTGGCCTATCCGAAACTCACCCGAGCCCTCGGGGCTCCTAACCAAACATGCACACAAGTCTAAAACTATCATACGAACTTGCTCGCGCAATCAAATTGCCAAAATAACACCTAGAACTACGAATTTAGCACCAAATCAAATGAAATTCTCAAGAACACTTTAAAATTTCTATTTTCTCAACTGGACGTCTGAATCACGTCAAATCAACTCCGTTTCTCACCTAATTTCACAGACAAGTCTTAAATATCATAATGAACCTGTACCAGGATCCAGAACCAAAATACGGACCCGATACAAACAATGCCAAATATGAATCAATTCTTAAAAAAAATAATTTCCAGACTTTTAATTTTTATCAAAAATTCATAACTCAAGCTAGGGACCTCTGAATTCAATTCTGGGCATACGCCCAGGTCCCATAATTCGATACGGACTTACCGGGACCGTCAAAATATGGACCTGGGCCCGTTTACTAAAAATATTGACCGAAGTCAACTAAAATCAACTTTTAAGGCAAAATTTTTTATTTTCATTAGTTTTCAACATAAAAGCTTTCCGGAAACCTGCCCGGACTGCGTACGCAATTTGAGGAGGGTAAAAATGAGATTTTTAAAGCTTAAGAGCACAGATCCGAGTTCTAAAACATAAGATGACCTTTTGGGTCATCACAGTTTCCCCCTCTAAAACAAACGTTTGTCCTCGAACGGACATAGAAAAGTACCTGGGCTGGTGAAAAGGTGGGGATATCTACTCCGCATATCGGACTCGGACTCCCAAGTATCTGCCTCAATAGGTTGACCTCTCCATTGCACTCGAACTTAAGGGTAACTCTTTGATCTCACCTACGAACTTGCCAGGCTAGAATTGTCACCGGCTCCTCCTCGTAAGTCAAATCCCTGTCCAACTGGACAGAGTTGAAATCTAACACACGGGACGGATTGCCATGATACTTTCGAAGCATGGACACATGGAATACCGGATGAACAACTACTAAACTAGGTGGCAACACAAGCCTATAAGCAGCCTCTCCCACTCTCTCCAGAATCTCAAAAGGTCCAATATACCTAGGGCTCAACTTGCCCTTCTTTCTGAACCTCATTACACCCTTCATGGGTGATACCTGAAGTAACACTCTCTCTTCGACCATGAATGCAACATCACGAACTCTACGGTCGGCATATCTCTTCTTCCTGGACTGAGCTGTGCGAAGTATCCTGAATAATCTTGGCCTTATCCAAGGCATCTTGTACTAAGTCTGTGCCCAACAACCGAGCCTCTCCCGGCTCGAACCACCCAACTGGCGACCGATAGTGCCTACCGTATAATGCCTCATAGGGAGTCATCTGAATACTCGACTGGTAGCTGTTGTTGTAGGCGAACTCTGCAAGGGGAAAGAACTGATCCCATGATCCTCCGAATTCAATAACACAAGCGCGGAGCATATCTTCCAAGATGTGAATAGTACGCTCGGACTGTCTGTCCGTCTGAGGATGAAATGTTGTGCTCAACTCAACCCGCGTACCCAACTCACGCTGAACTGCCCTC